CAAAAAAGACTATCAATTTCCAACTTCCCCTCCACAGCAAAGAGTAATCGTAAACAGAATACAAGTGCAACTCTGAACCTTCACGGACTGAGGAAAGGCACAGTTTCCAGGCTGAGAAAACTAACAAAATAGTTTACTCTCTAAAATGCCTGAACATTTCTCCTCCTTCAGCCTCCTTTAACGAACTGTAACAAATATAACTTAACCTTTTCTTAATGATGGAGGACAGTTAAAAAGAACTTGAAATTAGGAGGACTAAGGTTTTACTAATTGGGTCAAAATATACTGGAGAAATGATCTTAGTCAATTCACTCCAAATCCCATATCATCATTTTTCAAATAGGATCACAACATTCCCCAGAGATGATTTAAAGATCAGGTTAAACAGCACATGTGAAGTAGCTAGTGCTGTCCTCTGGCTCTATTAGAAGGTGCTCTGTAAAATGTCACCACCTTCCTGCCCCTAGGTACACATGTGACAGATGAGTTACTACTGTATGCCTCAGGCTCATCACTCCTCTGCAGATGTCCAGTCAAGAATGGGTCTCTGGTATCTACACAGAACAAATGCAACCCTAGGTCTTGATTTTCTTTTTTTTGTGAGGTACTTGCACCAGCTACCTATCTATTTTCATCTCAACTGGCTTTCTTTTTCTCATAAAAGTGGACTTTGAGTATCTGAGGCATATGACTCCTGGGCAATGGGATATGGATGCCCTTCTGCAAACTTCTTCTCTCTTTCTGAGAAGTTTTCTTACCCTTCCAAAAGTGGGCTCCCCTTCCGCTATCTTCAGTTCACATTTCATAAATCCTTTGTGCCACAGGCATCATCATATATATATTAAAACAGCCATTCTGAAGGAAACCACAAAGTAATCAAAGCAAACAATGAAGCAGCCACTTATTTTTGCATGTGTATTTTAACTAAGCCTTCACAGCCATTTTTGTGTTCTTGAGTTTACTAACAATTTAGACATGCTTTACAGTTTACAGCCTCTAAGCTTACAACCTTTAGTTCTTAATGCTGCTGAGTACAGATACTATTATTTACTATGTCATCTCCATTGCACACCTGTGAAGTCTGAGCTATGGATTTCAGTCTTTAGAGATGGTCAAATGCAGGTGCAACTGTAATTCAGGTATAAAGAGAAAAATTCACACAGACACAATTTACAATTGATATCTTTCTTTATATCTCTAAACAAAAAATCCATATATTATTTATTCACCTCACTAGGAATATTTTTTAGCAACTCTGTGAATGATAACTGCCTGACTGAATGTCCTAAAGCTTGAAATTTGGCTGGGCTAATCCTAAATTTATGATCCATCACCTTACTTTCTCCCTTTGTACCTCCTAATTGATGGATGATTTTTTTGTCCTTTCTCACTACTATTTTTATTCTACTTGCCAGAGTTGACTCAATTACTCTGTGAAACATATCTCAAAGTCTACTAACTCCAGAAAAGAGAATAGACAATATCATATATTTTAATAAGCCTCTAAAAAAAATTTAGTAGAAAATGGAAACTAAAAAGATTATAAAAAAGATCAATGAAACTAAAAGTTGGTTTTTGAAAAGATAAACAAAATCGACAAAATTTAACCAGACTAAAAAAAAGACAAATAACTAAAATCAGAAATGACAGAGGAGATATTATAACTGGTATCACAGAAATACCAAGGATCATAAAAGACTACTGTGAATAATTATATACTAACAAATGGATAACCTAGAAGAAATGAATTCCCAGAAATATACAACCTACTAAGATTGAATAAAAAAGAAATAAAAAATCTGAACAGATAAAAATAAAAAATCTGACAAATAGCATGTAAAAAGATTGAATCAATAATTTAAAAATCTCCCATCAAAGAAAAGCCCAGGACCTGATGGCTTCACAGCAGAATTCTACCAAATACCAATCCTTTGGGGAAAAACTGAGGAAGAAGGAATGCCTTCAAATTCATTTTATAAGACCAGTATTAGACTGATATCAAAGTAAGACAAGAACACTACAAGAAAGGAAAATTACAAGCCAATATGTCTGACAAACATAGATGTAAAAATACTCAAGGAAGGAAAAATATTAGCAAACCCAACAAAATAGTAGCAAACTGAATTCAACAGCACATTAAAAGAATCATTCACTATAATCAAGTGAGATTTACCCTTGGGATGCAAGGATGGTTGAACATATGCAAATCAATAAATGTGATACAGCATATTCACAGAATGAAGAACAAAAACCATATGATCATCTCAATAGATGCAGAAAAAGCATTTGACAAAATTCAACATCCTTTCATGTTAAAAACTCTCAACAAATTAGGCATAGAAGGAATGTACCTCAAAACAATAAAGGCATACGAAAAGCTCATAATTAACATTATACTCAGTGAAAAGTTGAAAGCTCCTTCTCTAAGATTAGAAACAAAAGAAGGATGCCCACTCATTCTGACTACTTCTATTCAACATAGTACTGGAAATTCTAGCCAGAGGAATTAGACAAGAAAAAAAAAAAAGGTATCCAAGATCTTGAATAGCGGAAGCAATTTTGTACAAAAAGGACAAAGCTGGAGGCATCACAAGAAGCAAGAAAACAATTAACCCAATCACAATGTTGGCAAAGGACCTAATAGACTCATCTCAAAAGAAGACACATAAATGGCCAACAGATATATGAAAAAATGTTCATCATGATTAATAACAAGGGAAAGGCAAATTAAAACCACAATGAAATATCACTTCATGCCTATCAGAATTGCTATTAATTAAAAGACAAAAGATAACAAGTATTGACAAGTGTGTGGAGAAAAAAATGAACCCTTGTGAACTGGAATGTAAATTAATATATCCATTATGAAAAAGAGTATGGAGGTTCCTCGGAAAACTAAAAATAGAATTACCATGGGAACTACAGCAATCCCACTTCTGGGTGTATATCCAAAGGAATTAAAATCAGTATGCTGTAGAAATATTTCTCTGTACTCTCATGTTCATTGCAGCATTATTCACAATAGCTAAGATACAGAAGCACCTATTCATCATCAGATGAATAGACAAAGAAATAGTGGTATATATACCCAATGGAAGACTATTTAGCTTTAAAAAAGGGAGAAATCCTGTCATTTGCAACAATATGGATGAACCTTGATGACATTATACTAAGTGAAATAGACCAGGCACAGAAAGATAAATACCTCATGATCTCACTTATATATGGAATCTAAAAAAGTTGAACTGGTAGAAGTGGAGAATACAATGGTGGTTACCAGAGACCGGGGAGGGGGATTGTCTTAATCCATTTAGTGTTGCTATGAAGGAGTACTTGAGGCTGGGTAATCTATAAAGAAAAGAGGCTTATTTGGCTCACAGTTCTACAGACTAAGAAGCATATCACCAGCATCTGCTTCTGGTGAGAGCTTCAGGCTGCTTCTACTCATGGCATAAGGGGAAGGGGATTTGGTATTTGTAGAAATCACATGGTGAGACAGGAAGAAAGGAGGGGGAGGTGCCAGGTTGTTTCTAACAACCAGCTCTTATGGGAACTAATAGTGAGAACTCACTCACCCTCTTGGCCCCACAGGGAGGGCATTAATCTATTCCAGAGAAAATCCAACCCCAGGACTCAAACACCTCCCATTAGGTCCCACCTCCAACATTGGGGATCACATTTCAACATGAAATTTGGAGGGGACAAACATCCAAGCTATAGCAGAGGAGCAGAGGTAGGTGGGGAAAGGGGAGATGCTGATCAAAGGGAAGAAAGTTCTAGTTAGACAAGAGGAATAAGCTTTCGTGATCTATTGTACAGAATAGTGACTAAAATAACAATACACTGTATATTTCAAAATTGCTAAGAGTAGATTTTAAATGTTTTCACCACTAAAAAATGCTAAGTATGTGGGATGATGGATTTCTCACTTAGACTGATTTAATCATTCCACATTGTAAACATATATCAAAATATCACATTAACCCCATAAATATATATAATTGTCAATTAAAAATAAAATCAAAGAAAGAAGAAAAATTAATGGAAAGGTGACCTGCCACCCATTATTCAAGACCCAAATAGCACCTTCTCTGTGAAATTTTATACTAGTGGCCCCACTTGACCAAATCCTTGCTTCTCCCACTGTGATTTATATTCCGCTTCTATTATGACTCCCAGTGAGGACACATAATTATGTATATGTGTGTCTCTCCCCCACCAGGATGTGAACCTACCAAGAGAAGAAGCCCTTATTTTAGCATAGAAAATACTGAATTCAAGTTGGATGTAATGGAATTAAAGAACAAAATTTTATAAAGAGTATAAACATCCAGTCTGTGTCTAAATTGATTTATTTGATTAGTTCTCAAATGTAAATGGATATACTCTGATGTCCTGTAAATCCTGTAACAATTTTAGTCATGATCATATCAGGATTTAAAATCATTACAATCTAATCTAAATCCCTTATATTCTGACTCTGAGATATGTGGAAGACACGGTACCAAGATGCTGGACATAGATTTTTGGAGGTTTAGATATTTTTTGTCTTGTTTTTAAGACAATAAAGCCATGACTGAGTCACTGAGCTTGAGTGATAACAATGACTAAGTTATCTTGCAAACTCTTTCCCTTATGATAGTTAAGATATTTTCAAAATTTACCAGCAAGCACTGAGTTAAGATTAAAATACTGTGTTCACCATCGGGGGGAGGGAGGAGGCAGGGGCAATATTTGTAACCCTAACAATATTTGTACCTCCATAATATGATGAAATAAAAGGGAAAAAAATACTGTGCTCACTGTATCATATCAAAAATCAAATTGCTTTACTTATCTTTCCATGATGTTAGTTATAAAATTAAGTAGATGTGAAACTTCAAAATGAAACCTCAAAATGAATAACAAAAATATAAGTAAATCTCATACCTCAAGGATAATTTCCTCTGGTTTGGTACCGTTAACGTGTTAACCCTCTCAGATCACATTTGGTACCATACCTGTCCTGTGTATGCAAACTCCAGAGCCTGCTTTAAGCCAAGGCTGGTCACACCGTGCAAATTCACCTCATCAGCTCCACTTTCCACCATACAAAGACTGAACATTGCCTGAAGGGGAAAAAAAAAGAAAGAGACAGAATTATGTGTCTTAGAATGCAAGGGAACAAGACAACATCCTAGAGAGACTAAGAACGAAAAAGTTTTACCAGTTAAAGATTGTTTTTGATTTGGTAATGCTTCTACAAAGCTTCATCCACACAAACCACTGCAAATCACTTTGACGTCTAAACAGTTATAGTAACAACACACACAGTACCTCATTCCTTACAGACAGAGTCTCATTTGAGGTGACTGTGTTTAGGCTCAATGAATTCATTCTCTTGATTCTGGGTTCTGATACTAAGTAATAGGCAACAATCCCAAACACTCTGGCCAATAGGCTATGGAAAGTGGCACCTTCATCTCCTGATTTCTCTGCCTTTTTTTCTGCCTCATTCCAATGACACATCTTGTTCCCCTCATCTGCCATGTATCACACACACATTCCATTCCAGTCCTTCTCAAAGTGTGGTCCCTGAACCAGCAACATTAGCATCACCTGGAAACTTGAGTCAAGTATAGATTCTCAGGGCCTCACTGCAGGCCTACTAAACCCGAAACTCAGGGTGGGGCCAGTGATCTGTGTTGTAACAGGCCCTTCAGGTAACTCTGATGCTCACCTGAATTTGAGAACCACTGAGTTATTCAGTACAATTCAATTTATCCCCAACCAATTATTCAAATGGCCAACTTATTGAAAATCAGTTCTCCCACAAATGATCAGTATGTCAAATGAAAAGACATACAAATAGCCAACAGTATATGAAAAAGTGCTCAACATTACTAATCATCAGGGAAAAACAGATCAAAACCACAATGAGGTATCACCTGTTAGGATGGCTATTACCAAAAAGACAAGTGTTGGTGAGGCTGTAGAGAAAAGGGAATCTTCATTCACTGCTGGTGAGAATGTAAACTGACAAAGCCATTATGGGAAACAGTATAGTTGTGCCTCAAAAAATTAAAAATAAGCCAGGCATGGTAGATTGCACCTGTAATCCCAGCTACTCAGGAGGCTGATGTGGGAGAATTGCTTGAGCCCAGGAGTTCGATACCGGCCTGGGCAACAATGTGACATCTCATCTAAAGGAAAAATTAAAAACAGAACTACCTTATGACCCAGCAATGTCACTTTTGGGTAAATACGCAAAGGAAATGAAATCAGTATCTCAAAGAGTTATCCACACTCCCATGTTCACTGCAGCATTATTCACAATAGCCAACATAAGGAAACAACCTAAATGTCCACTGATGGATGAATGGATTTAAAAAATGTGAGATACACACATACACAGTTGAATATTATTCAGCCTTAAAAAGGAAAGAAATCCTGCCATTTGCAACAACACGGATGAACCTGAAGGGCATTATGCTAAGTGAAATAAACCAGACATAGAAAGATAAATATTGAATGATCTCACTTCCATAGGCATATCTTGGAGATACTGTGGGTTTGGTTCCAGATCACCATGATAAAGTGAATATCACCATAAAGTGAGTCACAGAAATTTGTTGGTTTCCCAGTGCATATAAAAGTTATGTTTACACTATACTATAGTCTATTAGGTGTACATACAAAGTGAACAACACCTGACATACAGCAAACGCTTAGTCAAATTTATATTTTGTGATAACAATGAAATAGAATGAAGTTTCTTTTATGTATTCCCTAGTTAAAAGAATTGATAGAGTCTCTCTTCAGAATCGAGCCACCTTCAGGAGGTGAGTAGAGGAAAGATGAGTCTAATCTTATCTTGATTTCACTTCTTAGATTTCTGCAAAAGTTAAATATAGGGGACTCGAGAATTGATTAATGTATTGATGCAGCAAGTGCCAGTTGGCAAGTGCCAACTCAGTGCCAGGCACAGTGTGTGCTCTGAGGGCCACAGGGCCATCTGCTGCAGGAGCTGTAGGGGGGCCTAGACTCTCCATGCCCAGGGCTGGAGAGTTGTCATATTCCTTCTTTTCTCAATCAAATCACAGCTCTGGCTACTCTAGGGAATGATGAGTTGAGTTTCCCCCGGTGACTTAATTCTAAAATCTGGCTGGTAGGTGCTGCCGTGGGTCCGTGCCAAGGCCAGGCTGGACCAGCCGGGGGGAGAGGGAGGGGCTCTGAGTGTAGACCAGAGATGTCCAGTAGAAACATAATGTGACCTGCCTATGTAATTAGAAATTTTCTAGTAGCCACATTAAATAGAGTAAAAACAAACAAATCAAAATGATTCTAATTGGTAATTTTTTTTTTATCATTTCGACATGGGTTTACATTGATGATATATTTTTCAAAGAATTTTTTTTTCTTTCTTATTTATTTTTTTTTTTTTTTGGCCAGCACAGTGGCTCACACCTATAATCCCAGCACTTTGGGAGACAGAGGTAGTAGCGCTTGAGCCCAGGATTTTGAGACCAGCCTGGGCAACATAGCAAGACCCTGTTTGGACAGAAAACAAACTTAACCAGGTAAGGTGGTGTTCACAACTCCAGTCTCAGATATTTAAGAGGCTGAGGCAGAAGATCACTTGAGCCCAGGATTTTGAGGTTGCAGTGAGCTATGATCATACCATAGCACTTCAGCCTGGGTGACAGAGCAAGACTCTGTTACTAAGCAAAAAAAGTGTTTTTGGTTTTGTTGTTTTTGTGTTTTTTTTTTTGAGACAGGGTTTCCATAAGTTGCCTAGGCTTGTCTTGGACTCCTGGGCTCAAGGAATCCTCCTCTTTCAGTGCCCCCACAGCTAGGAATACAAGCACACACCATCACACCTGGCAGTTGGCAGTTTTAGGGTTTTTTGTTTTGTTTTTTTTTTTTGCCAAACTTGTAAACATGAATCTTCACAATCTTGGATAAAGAGTCCCTTTAATAAAATGACTGGTCTGACGAGTGTGGCTTTTAGGAAAGACCTCTGAGTAAGTCTGACTAATTTCCTTGATCAAAATATGAGATCTTATTTCCATGATCGAAAATTAAACTAGCTCCATTCATAGATTAATTTTGATGGCCTGTATTTCATTTCAAGAGTTTCATTCCTAATCCCAAACCTTAACAACATCTGTAATGTGCGAGACCTAATGTGGAGTGATACTATGGCAGTATTTGTCCTTATTAATATAAGAAACCCTGAAGTCAAAATGACATCCTTGATTTGTGCCGATCTGTTTGCAACTTCAGCAATAATCCAATTTCTGGCATAATTAAATCAAAGCCTGATTGGGTTAAGGAAGATAAGCAGGGCGTGGCTAGGGAGGGAGGAGGGACCCTCTATATAAAAACCGCTGCTGAGTGGAGCTCACTCCAGGACTGAGCTGTCGGTGGAAACAGGTGGAGGACGGAGGAACTAGCGGAAGACACACGGTCGCCATGGCTGAACAATTTAAAGAAGCAAGTACATGTGTCCTCTGCCTGTCTTATCTTGAAAAACCCGTACGCCTCAGCTGTGGCTTTATCTGCTGCCTCCGATGCATCAGCACACT